TGCAGGAGGCAGCCCATCAATGATTCTCTCTCATCATTGACATTTTTATCTTTCTCCCTTGCTCTTCCTCTCTGAAATTAATAAAAACATATTTAAAAAAAAAAAAAAAGCCAAATCCCTGGCCAGTGTGGCTCAGTTGGTTGGGCATCATCCCGCGTACTGAAAGGTTCAATTCCCGGTCAGGGCACATACCCAGGTTGCAGACTCGATGCATGTGGGTGGGGGGAGGGGGACAGCAGATCAATGTGCTTTCACATCAGTGTTTCCTTCTCCCTCTCTCTCTCTCCCTTCTCATCTCCCTAAAAATAAATTTTAAAAGACTTTTAAAAAGAGAAAAAGGAAAAAAATATGTCAAAGACCTAGCCCCCAGTACATCAGAATGTGATCTTATTTTTTTAATTTTTAAAAATATATTTTATTGATTTTTTACAGAGAGGAAGGGAGAGGGACAGAGAACTAGAAACATTGATGAGAGAGAAACATCGACCAGCTGCCTCCTGCACACCTCCTACCGGGGATGTGCCTGCAACCAATGTACATGCCCCTGACCGGAATCGAGCCTGGGACCCTTCAGGACACTTTGTCCACTGAGCCAAACTGGTTTTGGCGTGACCTTATTTGGAGATTGGGTTGTTGCAGATGTGGTCAGTGAAGATGAGGTCATGCTGCAGTAGGGTGGGCCCCTGAGCCAGGATGACTTGTCCTTATAAAAGGAGGACGCTGGACACATCCACACTCAGGGAGACGCCTGGAGCATGAAGGCAGAGATTGGGGCGAGACATCTGTGTCCACGCCAAGGGAAGCTGGAGATGGCCCGCAAACCAGCCTGAGCCGGAGCCAGAGCAGGCCCTCCTCTCAGCCCCCAGAAGGCGCCAACCCCATTGCCACCTGGATTCTGAACTCTGGCTCCAGAGCTCTGAGAGGATAATTTCTGTTGTCAGCGCTCCCGGTCTGTAGTGCTTTGTTGCAGCAGCCCCAGGTCACTCATTCAGGGGCTGGCTGTCCAGAATCCGCTTGGCCGCCTTCTCGCTGGGAGACATGGGCAGCTTACCATACTTCCCTTCTTTGAGCCTGAGTCCCGGAACCAGAATTCGGAGGCCTGGCTGGACCAATACTGATCGGATCCATCGGACCCCTTACCTGGACGTGTGGCGTTGAGAAACTGGGCAACGGTGACCACTTAGCCTGCGGTTTGGCCGAGGAGTCCATTGTGGGCCCGGCGCCAGGTGCACACACAGACTCCCAGAGAGACCTGGAGACAAGGCCGAGGGGGGAGGGGGCTTGGCGTGATCCCAGCTCCTCCCAGGCCGGCTGGCGAGCGATGTCTGGGTTCTCACGTGTATACTGTTTCCTCGTACCCCCCTTCTTGTGTTCTCACAGGGACCAGATTTTAACAAAGTGAGGACACATTTTCTCAGCAACACCAAATCTTACTGAGTGCCCGCTGGGTACAGGTGCAGGGCCTGAGGCAAAGAGGCTCCAGGTCTGCTCAGGCGTCCCAGGCCCAGGGAGGGTCATGGGGGATGAACCTGCTCCCTGGACTCCAGTTCAAAATGAAACAGTGAGGTCAGCCAGCAGAGTCCCAGCACTTCCCACTGTGAACTGTTAAATGCTGTTGTGAAATGTCAGCAATCACATTCTTCCCCTTCCTCATCTTTTTTTTCTTTTTCTTTTTTTTTTCTTTCCATTTTGAGAGACATGGGCTAACAGAAGAAACATAAAACGCATGATTGGGCCCTGGCCAGTGTGGCTCAGTTGGTTGGGCGTTGTCCTTTGCCCTGAAAGGTTCCTGGTTTCCTTCCTGGTCAGGGCACGTGCCCGGATGTGGGCTCAGTACCCGGTTGGGCACGTGCAGGAGGCAGATGTTTGTCTCTCACATCAATGCTTCTCTCTCTTTCCCTCTCTGTTCTTCTCTCTCTTTCCCTCTCTGTTCTTCTCTCTCTAAAAATCAATTAAAAATATTTTTTAAAGAATGCATGATTGGAGCTAAAATAAAGCAACATAGCCTGGCAGCTAAGAGAGAATGGACTTGGTGCCAGGTTGGCTGAGTTCAAGTGGGATCCTAGGCAAATTGTTTAACCTCTTCACACCCCAGTTTTCTCGCCTGTACAATGGACAAGATAAAGTCATAGCGATTTGTGGGGGATTCATGTAAAGGAGTTAACGTATGCAAAGTGCTTATACCAGTGACCAGCACACAGTAAGCCCTTGGTGGACATTGGCTCTTATTATTAATAAAGAAACACACAATGTTGGGGAACACAAGGAAAGAAGTGGTTATTATTTGTAAGAAGACATTTCTGCGGATGGCCCGCCCCTCACAATGACCTGCTCCTCACCTCTAGGGAATGGTTGCCATATTGGTATAACTTGGCTTGGATACTGGCTGGGTTGGGCATCTGCCCCAAGCTGAGCCATTCAAGTCCTTTTCTTGGAACTGGGCCAAATAGAGCCTAGTTTTATCTCGGCTGGTCTCTCAAAAGGCCACCTCTGTCGTGCTGAAGTGACATCACAGAGAAAGCCAGGATGTGGGGAAGGATGATACAGAGAAAGCCAGGATGTGGGGAAGGATGATCAGAGAGAGGCAAACACAGGAAGCAGACAGAAGGGCCCTGGGCCCCTGGTTTCTGGCCCTTTCTGGATCCTGGACACCTCGGATGCCCTCAGAGCGCTCCTTAGGACCCGGCTCCACTCTTTGTTGAAGGTACTCTAGTTGGTTTCTGTTGCAATCAAGGTGTCTTGGTCAATACCTGGACGCTGGGGCCTGCCTTCTCGTGTCTCTGCATCTGTGAGACTGATTTTCCTGGAGTTATAGGATAATGTCCACTCCTTTCCCGTCAGCTCAGGCAGGCTGCAATTGGTTTGCTCTGTGGAAGAAAGAAGAGACCAGGAGCTGAGAAACCATTTTTCCCCTACCACTCATTGAGCACCGACTTCTTCCTAAGCCTTGTTCTGAGCACTTTCCATGCATTATCTCATTAGCTCCACTGGGAATAACATGATTGGATCTCTTCTTCTCAGATGAAGAGATGAGGTTCAGAGAGGTTAAGTGATTTAGGGAGTGTAACCCAGCTAAGGAAGGTGGACAACTGGGATCTAAATTTGAAGTTTGTGCCTTCAAGCTCTTCTACATCCTACCAGGGGCTGCTGGGCAGCATCTTCCCACTCTCCTTTGTAAGATCTTAGATTTTTGCCTCAGTTTCCTAATCTGTGAAATGGGATTTGCCCATCTGAAGGTTGTCGAAGTGGCCAATGCACAGGGAGGTAAGGGTAAGTTTCAGGAGAGCTTCACGCTCCCCACACACGTTCCCTAACCCCACACACGCTTCCTTTCACTGCTCTTTAGCAACTGACTCAGAGTGGATGGAGGAGAAGAAAGGAGGTCACATTTAAATTGGTCAATTTGAGCTGCTCACTGCAAAGGCTGGTGTGGGAGAGAGATGCAATCAATCTGAAAAAGTGTTTTTTTTTGTTGTTGTTTGTTTTTTTAAATGTGATCCATGGCCTTCAGTCCTCCGTGTGGCTGCGCTAGGCATCATTCCTATGATTCGGCAGCAGCTTGGCATTTGGGCTCTCCATTAAGTCCCTGCAAATTTTTAAACAATGGCATTGATCTTTTTTTTTTTTTAAATATATTTTATTGATTTTTTTACAGAGAGGAAGAGAGAGGGATAGAGAGCTAGAAACGTCGATGAGAGAGAAACATCGACCAGCTGCCTCTTGCACACCCTCTACCGGGGATGTGACCGCACCAATGTACATGCCTTTGACTGGAATCGAACCTGGGACCTTTCAGTCTGCAGACCGATGCTCTACCACTGAGCCAAACCGGTTTCGGCTGCATTGATCTTTTTTTTTTTTTTTTTTTTTTAATTAAAACAAATCAATACATGCTCATGGTAGGAACTTTGGGGGTGGCATAAAAAAGAACACCAAATTTACCCAAACAGGGTGACAGCCATGTTGGATGTATTAGTCAGCACCCACATGGATACATCTCAAAAACTGTTATGTGCAAAGAACTCAGACACCCCCAAAAGTACACAACTTTTTTTTTTTTAATCTTTACCTGAGGATATGTTTACTGATTTTAGAGAGAGGAAGTGGGTGGGGAAGGGGGGGGTGAAGAGAGAGAGGGAGAGAGAAACATTGACTAGTTGCCTCCCAGATGGAACCTGCCACCTAGGTATGGGCCCTGACGGGGAATTGGACCCACAACCTTTTTTGAGTATGGGATGTTGCTCCATCTAACTGAGCCACTGGGCCAGGGCAAAAGGACCCAACATTTGATTCTATTTGTATGATGGTCAAGGAGGAGTAAGAACCATCTATAGTGACAGCAGCAGATCAGGGGGTGCTGGGTCCAGAAGACACTATTGGGGTGTGGGAATGTTCTATACCAATATCTTGATTAAGTTATTGGTATTGGTATCATTGGTATCAGTGGCAGTTACATGGGGGTGTACGTTCATCAACATTTGTCAACTTGTTCTTTAAAAACTTTATTTAATGTAAATTATACTTCAATAACATTGGTTTATAAGTGGGGGGTATGTAGGTGGGAGAATGACCTGTATTCCACTCTCCTGCTGTGGGATCTTAGACAAACCCTCGATCTTGCCTTGGTTCCTTTGAGCTTGGTTATCCAGATCTAACTGTTATTCAGGTTTTGGTGCATGTATGTAACTTAATCAGCTGTGTTTAAAATATTAGTTCCAGATAAACTACAAATTCTTTGTAATACTTAAAAAAAAATTAACCTCAGACTTAATCATCTGGTGAAAATGAGATGGAAAGGGGGAGAGGGTGGTGCTTCATGTTCCTTTAATGTGTTCTCTTGTCCCCGAAACCAGAGCGGGCGCGTGAGTGGCAGTGATCTCTCAGCTACAGGCTCCGCAGGCTGATGAACAGAATGGGGCTCCCGCCCCGCCCTCCTCCCTGCTGAGGAGCCTAGAAAATGCACTGACTTCACCTCAGCTCAGAAGAGGAAGATGTTCAACTTTAGGATAAAAACATAACTTCTCTCTTTATAGAGGAGCACATTTTATGACATGACCAGCACATCAGATGCCATTAGTACAGAGTGTGTGTTCCGTTATGGTGGTGTCTCATGCCTGGTAAACGTGAGGTTCGGGAACGATCTCCTAGCTGATGTCATTCTGAGACTGAGTTTTCAGATGGAGTTCCCCCAAAGCAATAATAGCTCCATGAGTAGCTGGGAAATGGGGACCACTTGAGAACAAACAATGCCTGCTTTTGGTGCTTGGCATTTTATAACAAGTGTGGCCTTTTGTTAAGAAGGCTCCAAAAACAGGACTTAAAGGAGGTTGTATCTGATTCCATCCTGCGTGTCCCCGTGCTCCTGGACAATCTGATGAAGCCGGCGGTGAGTGTGCTTTGTCACACTCAGAAGTGGCGTCTGAGGAGGAACAAGCTGTTGCATGAGTGTGAGCAATATCATCTCCCCCAGACTGCAGCCCACAGGATGGCTGGGAGCAGCCTGGACCCACTGAGGGCGGGGAAACATCTTCCTTCAAACCCGGTGTCTAACCAGCAACGGTCTGGCCTCCCAGGTGACAGGTGGCAAATTATGGGACAATTTTGTCATCACAAATCAGGGATGGCACTCGTATCTGTGGGCAGTGCCGGGACGCTGCTAAATGTCCTTTAATGCCCAGGTCAGCTGCCTGCCACCAAGAATTACCTAGCGGCAAATGTCAGTAGCATGAAGGTTGGAAGCCCTGTCCAGATGTTGATCGGGAGTGTCTGCACGCCAGCTGCTGGGCAATGGGAAAAGCCAGGGAAATGGGCTGGCTGGAGGGCCCATACCCAAGGCCGCATAAACATGGGTTCTAAAATGACCGAGGTGACGCGAAGCAGCAGAAGCTTATTCCAAGTGCTCGCTCTGGGCCAGGCTGTGGGCTTGGCATCGATTACCTCAATGTCTTCAACTCTGGAAAAAGGCACCGCTAGGACCCCCCTTTATAGGAAACCAAGCGAAGATATACACAGTTGGGAAAGGGAAGAGGCTATTTTCTTCTTGGCATGCTTTTTGTGTGTGTGTGTGTGGGGGTGGTGGAGAGCGATGATTTTTGTGGGGAGAGGGTGTCTGGTCCCCGCCGCCCCCCCCCCCCCCCCACACTCAATCCTGAGCTCCAAGGGGAGAAGATGTTGTGTCATCTGGATCTGTAACACTCAACGAAGTCCTGCACTCAGCAGGTGCAAAAAAGGTGTGTAATGGAATAGAATGGCAAACTGAAGGGTCAGGGCAGTGTAGCCTAGTGCTTAGACCATTGGCATTGCAGTTAGATTTCAGCAGATAAGCACTGTACACCGACCCGGGGCCAGGCCTCAGGGAAACAGGTAGTGGCATGCTGGAGCTAACTAACCTCGACTGGCTCATGAGAGCCGACTGTTCCTTCTTCAGGAAGCTTGCAAGCTGCTTGTCAAAGAGCCATTAAACAGGAGTAAATTACGGTTACCACGAAATAAATTATATTTTTTAAAAGGTAATAAAACGCATCACTTCCTAATTATTCTTCTATGTTTTACTAGTATCTCTGTTCTGGAGGTTATTTATGTCTATTGCAGGGGTCGCCAAGCTTTTCCTGTACAAGGGCCAGAGAGTAAGTGTTTCAGGCTCCGCAGGCCGGGAGCTGAATCCGGCCCTCCCGCCACTGTGCGCTGTCCCCCGGGCTACTGTCTGGAGAGCAGAAATGCACTCTAATGGGGCCCAGCTCTTTCCAACTCCACGTCCAGGCATGCATGTTGGTAGCTTGGAATCGGCCACGGTGGGAATATTTACACCCTGGAAATTGTCAAAGGCTGTGAATCAGGGCTTTCCTATTTTTTTTTTTTTTCAACACACTGATTGTTAAACATTTACCAGCACACCACTGGACCCAGTGATGCGCCAAAATGGAATGAGCTCTGCCCTTGTGGAGGGCACAGTCGGGTTCTTGCACCATTTCGTGTTGGGCGGGGCAAGGAGGGAACGGAGAAAGGCTAGTGAGGGTCTCCACTAGAGAGCATTCTGAGGAGGAGGACACCCAGGCGTGGTGTGTCTGCCCAAAGGGCAGGGCTGCTAGAAGAGGGTGCTTGGGTGGCCCTCTCCTTGGGCTGGCCATCCACAACGCTCCTCTCCCCCACTCCATCAGATTCCTCTGTGGGCAGCAAGGCAGCAGGCCTGTCTTTCCCCTCTGAGCTAGCTCCCGGGGAGACTTCAGGGATGTGGGAATCGAGATTTGAGCTCACGAGGGCAGTTTACTACTGGTCACTGCAACCCCAGCTCCCAGCACGGCACCTGACACAGGGTAGGTTCTCCGCCAATGCGGCCCAGGGGAGAACCCTAGTGGTTGCGGAACTCAAGTGATGCAGCGAGCTCCATCAAACGAGGAGGGACCGCCAGCAAAGGATGCAGAAAAGGACAGGTGTGTCTGGTGACCTTGTTGAATGAACTGGCCCTAGGGGAGCTCAAGGAGTGTGAAGGGTTTGTGAACTTCAGTGTCTTCTCTGCTGCTCCGTAAACTCCTCAAGTTCAATGCCAGGAAGATGAGCTCTAAGGGGCTGGGACCTTTTCTTTCTTTCTTTCTTTCTTTCTTTCTTTCTTTCTTTTTTTTTTTTTTTTTGAGAGTCTGGATTCCCATGGCATTGAAGATGACTTGGGTACATATCCATCCATATCCCTTGGGTACATATCCTTGTGTCTCCTACGGAGGCTGGGGTCCTGTGGGGAGGGGGCTTCTGATGGACTCTGACAGCCGGACTCAGATTTATTTCTAGGTCAGGAACCTGGAACAGTGGGAGCGAGGGGCTCTGCAATGAGTTACATGAGTCCCAGTCTAGGAGGCTGGGGATTCAGCTATCGCCATGTGAACACTAATAACATGCCTTCTCATTATGTCTCAGCTCACTGACGTGGTCCCATGGTCGGCACATTCTGAAGCACCAGGGAATAGGTGAGTGTGACCATCAGTCTTTGTCTGTTGAGCCCTGACCCCATGTGGCCCTGAGCCAGCTCTGTTGTCAACCAGGAACTCCTGATTTCTTCCCCAAAGAGCTTTTCTTCTTACAGCATCTTGGGGGCTCCATGCCACTGCTTTCAAACTAAAATTTAATCATTTAGACCGGCCAGTGTGGCTCAGTGGTTGAGCACCAACCCACAAACAAGGAAGTCACAGTTGGATTCCCACTCAGGGCATATGCCCGGGGTTGAGGGCTCAATACCTAGTAGGGGGCATGCAGGAGGCAGCCGATCAATAATTATTTCTCATCATTGATGTTTCTATCTCTCCTCTCTCTGCAATCAATAAAGACATTTTAAAACAATTATTTAAAGATGACCGATTGAATTCAATACTCTCAACTCTCTAAGGCCTCTGCTCTGTGTGCCTTGGCAAAACAGCTAGTTTCCTGCACAGGCCAAGCATCCTCCCACCTCTTTGTTTGTGCCATTCCATCTTTGTATGTGTCCAAGGCCTTCTCTCCCCATCTTATATCCCCCCCCCCCCCCCACACACACCTTTCCACTGTTTACCTGATTCCTAAAGACCTTCTGAAGTCAGGACATGTACCCCAGCACCTGCTGGGTTATGTGTTCCCTCTCTGTTCCTGGAGCTCAAGTGTGGTTGGTCATTGTCTTTATCATCCATCCTTTATCTGATCTCCATTCCTGGGTCAATCCTGACTAGCTACGTGAGCCTGGGCAAGTAGCTCAGCCTCTCTGTACTCTCATCTGCAAGAGAGGAGGGCGATGGCAGTGTGTCCTAAGGTTGCTGTGACAAAGGAAAGGTGCATGTGTGTACAACGAGTAGCACACTGGAAGTGCTTAGGATAGTGTGGCTATTGTAGGAATTACTCCTACGACAACAGAGCAGGAGCTCAATAAACCCATCCCTTGCACCCACAATTACAGCATGAGGTGAGGGCTCAGTTTGCCCCTTTTCTTTTCTCTTTTCTTTTCTTTTCTTCTCTTTTCTTATTAAGGTATTATATGTGTACATATCTTACCATTGCGCCCCCCCCCCTACTCCCGTACATGTCCTCCCCCCACCAGGCTTTTCTTGTTTGATGGTTTTCTCAAGGCTGTTGAAGCTTAGAGCTTGAATGAAATGCCAGCCAATTGTGGGGAGATGCTGAATACCTCACTTTCTTACTAAACTGTGCCTCCCTCAACATGCACCAGGAGGGACAGCTCTGCCCATCCCCTGGGCAGCCTGGACCTTTGAGTCATTTCTGTGAGGGACTGGGCCCTCCCTTCCACGCCCTTCCCCAACCCAAGCTCAGGGGGTGGAGCCCCTCCATCTTGTCTGTTCTGGGAGAGAACAGGGAGGAGATAATCCCACCACAGGGGCTCTGAGGATAAACTGCGGCATTCGTGATAAGATTCTACACACATTCACGATAAGATTCAACACACGCTCACACACCTGTGTGTTCACTGCAGGGCTCCTTCACTTAAAAGGGAAAAATCTGGGCGTTTTGAAGGTATTAACTGCAGAAGCCTGTGGACCTGAGAAAGCCTGAGGGAGTGGAGTGTTTGCTGGGTGGCCTTAGGTGTCTCCTGATGGCAGAAAGGGAACAGTTTCCTTTCAGTTCTAGTCCTGAGTGACACTGCGGTTCATACCACAAAGCTCTTCCAGTAGGAGTTGCTTCCCCGAGAGTAAAGCAGAGATGAATGGCCAGGTCCTGGTCTGAGGGGAGAGGTAAAGAAGCTGGAGTTACTGGGTGCAGGAAGAGGAGGGGGCAGTCCAGTATCTTTGTGGGGGTGTGGGGTGGGGTAGAAAGGGGGGAGGCTTTGTTGTATAGGTTCCTAGAAGGGGCCAGACTCTAGGGGCAGAAAAAAGGAGGGTGTTGGCGAGCCTGTCCCCTCCCCGAAGGCAGCTCTAAACCCAAAAAGCCAAGGCTGGTAGACATCTGGCAAAGGCCCAGGGTCTGCTGGGCTGACACGGGCAGTGTGGGCTCATTATCCAGATAATTGAGGGGGCATTTTCAATGCCAGGAAACATCCCTGTTTTATGGCCTCATCTGGCCAGCCAGATGTGCAGCCTGAGCTGTGGAGGGGTGTCAGAGGTCAGGCGGTCCAGCCCCCAACCCTTCTTGCCAGGCCCAGCCCAGCCCAGCCCAGCCCGGCCCGGCCCGGCCCGGCCCGGCCCGGCCCCGCCCCGCCCCGCCCCGCCCCGGTCCCTCGAGTTTGCACCTGGCCGCACCTTGGCCGTCCGCGGTGACATGTTTCGGGGCGTTGGCATGTTTCCGGGCGTTGACATGTTTCCGATCGGGGCCGCCGGGATGGGGAGCGGTGGGGGTGCAGGGACCACACGGCTGGTCCCAGATCAGGTCCCGCCCGCGGAGCCTCGCGGCTCCGCACCGGCCTGGGCACCGGCCTGGGCACCGGCGGGGGCGCGGCTGGGCGTGACGTCACTCGCCCCGCCCCCGCGGCCGCAGCCCCCTCCCACTCCGGGCGGGACCGGCAGGGGCCGGCTGGCCGCAGCCCCCTCCCCAGGGGCCGCCCCTCCCGTCGGGCCGCGCCTGCCTCGGCCCCTCGCGTCCCCGCCCGGCCCGCCGGCTCCGCCTGCGAGAGGCCGAAGCCGCCGCGGCGGCCGCCGCCGTTGCCGCCATTGACGTCAGAGGGGCGGGCACATGACCCCGCGGGGACCAATCGCGCGGGCGCCGAGCGGCTTCTGCAATCTCTCCACAGCGCCGGCCCCCGCGGCCCCCGCCGCACATTCGCCCGCGGACGGCCGCCCAGACACACGTACTGTACACACGAGCGAGCGGGCGGCGGGGCCGAGACACGCCCGCCGCGCGGCCCCCGCTCCCGCCGCCGCTGCTGCCGCCGCCGCCGGCCCCCGCCCGCCGCCCGCCGCCCGCCGCCCCGCCGGTCCGGCCGCGCGAGCATGCACCCGACGAGCTAGGAGGAAGCCGAGCTCCGCAGGAAGAAGGACCGCGCCGCCACCGCCGCCGCGCCCGCCGCCTCCCTCCCGCCGGCCCCTCCCCTGCGGGCGCCCCCAGCCCCACACCCCCCCACCTTCCTGAGCGGTGGGGGGGTGCGGGCCGCCGACCGGGGGCCCCGCCGCCCCGCAGCCGGGACAGCCCCTTTCCCCGCCCCCGGCCCCGGCCCCCTCCCCGGCCCGGCCGGCCATGGATCTGACCAGCAGCTCGGGCGGCGGCGGCGGCGGCGACCCCCGGCAGATCGAGGAGACCAAGCCGCTGCTGGGGGGCGACGTGCCGGCCCCCGAGGGCACCGCGAAGATGGGCGCCGTGCCCTGCCGCCGGGCCCTCCTCCTGTGCAACGGGATGAGGTACAAACTGCTGCAGGAGGGCGACATCCAGGTCTGTGTCATCCGGCACCCGCGGACCTTTCTCAGCAAGATCCTCACCTCGAAGTTCCTGAGGCGCTGGGAGCCGCACCACCTAACGCTGGCCGACCACAGCCTGGCGTCCGCCACGGTGAGTCCGCTCCGCGTGGCCGCGCGCCGGCACCCCCCCGCCCCGGCGCCTCCCCCCGGGACCGCGGGGCGCCCCTTCCGGGGCCGCACCGGGAGCCCCCGGAGCCCCCGGAGCCCCGGCCGCCGTGCGCCCGGGGGCGTCCGGGGCGGGGAGAGCCCGGCCCCCCGCTCCCGGCCTGGGCTCGGCGCTGGCTTGTATAGAATCTGAAGCCTGTCTGCCCGGGCCGGCGGTTTCGGGGAGACCCCCTGAGAATTCTGGGGTGGATCTGGCCCACCCCAAGCCGAGCTATTGGGGGACCTCAGGCCCAGCACTTGGGTTTCTTACGGGGGGACCGTGGGATCGACCGGCTGGGCCCTGATGGTGGTGAGGGTTCCCTTTCCGAAAAAGCCTGCGGTGGACGGAGAAAACAAAACAACCAATAATAATAATAATGATAATAATAATAATAATAATAATAATTGTAATAAAACACCTCCCCCCAAGCTCCAAACCCCCAGCAACCCCAAAACCCGACAAACCCGAAGAATTTCCAGAAACCAATTCCTATCTTTGCTGTATTCATCTTTTTTTTTTTCTTTCTTTTCTTTTTCCTTTTCTTTCTTTTTCCTGCCCGGGGTTGGCAGGCAAAACTGGGTGCTTCCCTTTCAGAAAAATCCCTCTGGCACATTGGGAGGCTGGACGTGAAGGGAGAGGGGGCAGGGGTCCGGGACTATGTCCTCCCCGCCCAGGGCCGAGGGTCAAGTTCTCCTGTGGGCCTCTCTGGTCTTGCATTGTCTGTGAAGTGTGTGTAGACGCGTATTTGCATACTGTTTTTTTTTTTTTTTTATGTTGTTACTGTTATTGTTTTTTAAATATGTGGCTGAGACTGGGTCAGCCAGGTGGGAGGGAGAAGAAAAGGCATTGATCTGTTTCTGAAATCAAATCTGCAAGGTGGAGGGAGAAAGCTGCGGTGGGGTCGCAGGGCGGGGGTGGCGGGCAGGAGCCTGAACAGGATGCTTTGTGTTTTGAAACAAGGACAGTTTTTAAAGCACCAGATCTGCTTGGGCCCGAGCCTTGCTGAGAGGGTTCCTTCCTCTATGGAGAGGTGACAGGTCTTCCCCAGAATGTACACTCCCCTCTGGGGCCACCGTGGGCCTGTTTACTAAGGGGGAGGGGGGGCCGAATCCACCGCCTGCCCACACCTGTGCCAAGAAAACCCAGCCAGGAAACAGGGTGTCGCTTACATGGCATGTCACAAACGTGTAGCGTGTGTAGACATTTCCCCGGCATCCATGTTCCCTTGGCAGTGTGTCACGGCCTGTGACACATGCTCCAAGGAATGGGGAGGGGGAAAAGTTAGCAGAGAAACCTCACTCCTCGACACAACTTCCCCCTCCTGAGAGCCTTGAAGTACCCGAGGACTTTTATTCTGAATTTTGGGTCCTACGTGCTGAGAACACCTATTTTTTCTTTCCTGTGGGCACGTTGGTGCAATGTCTGCAAAGGCTGCTCTCTCAGGGTGGATCACTGGCTGTGGAGAGGCGGCCCAGGCCCAATTTCAGGCTCATGCATGTTTGAGAACCACAGGGCTTAGCGTTTGGCTTTTTACTTGATGGAGGGAAAGCCTCGGAAAATTTGCCCTCACACACCATTTCAGATTGGGGAGGAACTGGTGTCCTCAGTCATTCCTTGCCTGGGACCTACCCGGAGCTCCCAAATCTGGCTTCAGAATCGTCCCCTGGCTCATGAGGGAGACGGGGGGCTCTATTTTTTTTTCTGCTACCCCTCAAAGTGAAGGGGAGTGTGTGTGTGTGTAGAAATGGTTGAGAGGCACAGTGACCCTCTGTGGGAAGGACAGGCTGAGCCAGGAGTGTGTCCTCTGCTGCTGCTGGCCACAGTCTGGGGGAAGCCAGCTTTGGAGGCTCGAGGCCCCAGACTCACCTCTGATTGCTCAAGATGTGTACGTGAGCGAGAGAGGAAAGGAGGAAAGGCTGTAGCGGGGTGCTGGTTTCTTAAGAGGCCCTGCCCCACCGTCACCAGCCAAGGCGGGTGGCACTTTTGTAGCCTGGGCCTTTCCGGAGAGGAGCCCTGGTTTTCAGGGCTGGGGACTGAGCACTAACCGTGGAACAAGGTTTGTCTCAGCAGAGCCTTGCTCTGGCGTTGGGAAATGTGGAAGGAGGAACTCTGAGCAAGTGTCCAGTGAACTGGCATAATTCCCCTTCCTCTGCCTGTCATCACCAAGCCCCTCGGGTAGGGCAGGGGTGTCCTTAAATCTCCCCATGGGAGATTCCAGGGGGATACATGGCTCTCTGTGCCAGGGCTTGTGAGCATGGAGGGGGGCTGCTGAGTAGGCCTGGTAGAACGGCTGCCTCCAGGGCAGAGGGTGGGGTTGGCACTGCTACTGGGGACCTTGCCTCATCCCGAGATACCTGGTTGGTGTCCAGGCCCAAGGAAACAAAGCAGCCCCGAGGGGTTTTTCTGAGGCCTGGGCGTTATGTAATCTGTCTGCATTTTATAGTGCGGCCCAAGCACTCTATTGAGAAATATTAGTCCAAATGAAACAAAGGTGAATTAGAGTGCAGCTCACTACAACAGGCCCTGTGTAGCCCGGTGGCTTTGTAGTGTCCCTTGCCCAGTCTCACGCTGCCGATACATCAAGTATGTTTCATGTCCTTTCTTGAAATGTATATCGTTGGTATATCCAGCTCAACTCAGAACCGTTTGGTAATTATATGGTTAATTGTGTGGGCTTCAGGAACAAGAGTCAGTGATTGATCTGGATCCAAATGAATAAACAAACTAAATACACTCTTTTGCCCAAATTGTCTTTGGAGTCTGTCTACACTGATCCAATAAATTGGATTGTTGTCAGAGGTAAAGACCAGGATCACAGCTGTCTTGAGCAGGGTGGAAGCATATGGGGCTCCCAGGCCCACCTGGGTGGCAGTTCCTGCTGGCTTCGCCCCTCCGGTGGACCTCTCTGAGCCCCTGCTGGGGAGATGGGCTCAGACTGGGGACCCCAGGACTGGCAGCCTCACTCCCCGGCCTGGCTGTAAACTTTGCCTTGTGTGGGGTCAGGTTGGCGCTTGCCCTGTGCCTGTCTCCTGAGCCAGTTACTGATTAAGTCCTCACAGAGCCAAGAGTAAGCCTGACGTGGCCTGTGACAGTGCCGGGCCTGATGCACTTTGTGCTTGAGACTTTGGATCCAGAAAGCTCATAAACAAAGAAGGAAACACAAAGGCGACAGTGACCTGGCTGGCGAGTAGGGGTGACTGGGAGGCATCCACACCTTCCTTCCCTGGGGTACACAGGACCACACCTTGTGGGGGAAGGGCCTGCTTGCCGGGGCCACAGCCCGGCCCTGGCGCCTCCTTCCCCTTTGGCATCCAGGCTTCCCAGTCCCTGGGCTTCCCTGGGGCTTCGTGGTGGCTGTCGGTCGGATCCCACGGCCAGGCATTCAGCATAAGCAGCCAGGTCCGGAGAGACCAGAATCCATTTTGCTATTCTGTGTCTAGGTTGAATTTGATCACCTGCTAGACATGTTTGTCCACTGGAAGAGGGCTTTGTCTGTGTGCTTTGTTTCCTCTGCACCGAAGAAGTACAGACACGCTGCTTACATTCTATTTCACCTAATTTTGTGCACGCATCACCTGGCATCTCGTGGTGGATCCGGTCTGAAAAGTCTTTTATTCATGGACCCAACAGGGATGGGGGCACAAGTGACAGCAGTGTTCTTTATTCTCAGGCCTTAATTCATCAGCGACTTGTTCTTAAATTCTCACCACTCTGCTGCCCTGGTTGAAATGTTTCTGGCCTTCTTGTCACGGAGAGGAACAGTGGTTGATCTGGTATGCATGGAGGCAAGAAGTGACCTTAATTCTCATTAGGTTCCTTTAGTCCGGTGTTTCCATGGGGAGAGCCTTCTTCTGAACTTGCAGCTCCTAAGCATCTAGGTGTCAACTGCGGAGCGGAGAGTTCATCCTAACGGTGTGATTTACACTCAAGAATTAAAGTTTGTGCCCCATGGGGACACGTCTGTGTGTGTGTGTGTGTGTGTGTGTGTGTGTGTGTTGACTTTTCTCACTTTGTATCATGCACCACTTCCCGCCTTTAATTTATGTGATGTTTATTGTGGCAGTCAGTAAACACAAGGAATTTTTATTTTCAATGCCATTAGTCACAATATATCAAATTTGTTTCTGGATAACTTGTCTGATTGAAGATGGTGGAGGGGAGGGGCAGAGACGGAGGAGAAAACAATCTAAATTCTCTGTAAACAACAAATGTGGCCTGCCTTCCCCAGGCTGTGGTAAATAAGTGCATTTTAAGGAGGGAGTATGTTTTGATGCTGCCATTCACTCGCCTGGTGCAATCTGAGATGCCCTTTCTGGCCACGGGCAGAATTGTGCCGGTCCAGGTGGAAGGGGTTTCACTGCATGTGGCTGGGCTTTGCTGCTGAGCTGGCGATGGAGGTGAGCGAGGCGGATGTGTGCCTCCGGCTTGGGCTCCAGGGCCCACAGGTGGCTTCTCCACGGGGCCCGCTGACTCAGGTGGCAGTGAGAGAGGGAGGGCATTTCTGGGGCACCATGCCCAGCAAGGCTAGGGGGAGCTTGGTGGCCGCATGACCAAAGCTGTCTGGGGCAGAAGGGCAATCTCCCTCCAGGCCAGCCATGCGGGTGGTGCCCCTTGGTGTTTTGGCACTATGAATCTGTGAGATAGCCGAGTTATGCCTTTGATTAAAGGATTTAAAGGATTCGGTGAGATTAAGTGAGGCAGCCTAATGGTTTAAGGAGCCTCCACCAAGGGGCAGAGCAAACTCCGGGGTTGCGGTCTGTTGGCCCTGGGTCTGGATTCTGAGGTTATGACTTCCTGGCTGTGTGACTTTCGGCACATGCTTTCCATTGCTGGCCTTCCTTCTTCTTCTTGCGGAGGGTGGGACAATGCTACGTCGTTGGCAGGGTTGCCATAAGCATTGGAAAGAATTCAGTTTAGCACCTAGTAGGGTGACCAGCACAGAGTAG